ATGCACATGTACATAGTGCACATGTTTGAGCCAGAAAGAGACAGAGCGAGAGAGAGAGAGAGAGAGGGGGCTTGTTTTTTCCTTCTCCAAGGGTACTGCTTTTCCAAAAGTGCCTGGGGCGAGACTGCAGCACCTCGTCTCCCGGAGGCCTTTGGCCGTCTCCTAATAGCCCCCCCTCATCTGCCCCCATCTCAGAGGTGCATGATGGGATACTTCCCCTTCCCCCTCTCCTCTTCTCCTCGTGCCGTCCTCATGTTTTGTGCTGGAGTTCACATCCGCACAGGTTCAAATGGTAGAGTTGCCAGGGAACAGTCAGAGGCCATTAGTGTTTGGGACGATTCGCCCTGCGGCGCCGCAGCACTAACCAGTGAGCGGGGGGGCCATGTTGATTAGCAGCTTCACATGTAACGAGCAAGTTTGCCCTTTCTTTTCTTTTCTTTTCTTTTCTTTTCTTTTCTTTTCTTCTGTCTCTCTCTCACTCTCTCTGTCTGCCTTTGTTTCATGCCACTAATCCCGTTGCATAATTTTTTTGATTATTTCCACTCCTTTGACTCACTGTCATGTGTGTGAGCATATTTTCACTAGTGATAGCGTGATATATAATGGCCAGTTTATCGGCTGATTTTTGGATAGATTATTGGTATCAGCTAAAAACACACCCTGTTATCAATGCTCAAATGTACCAACAGGATAATGACATTTTTATGAATGTGAATGAATATGAAATGAATGTCCACTGCATTTCAGCAATTTTGTGTACATTTCATTCTCTGTACTTGATTTACTCTGATCTAGATCTGTTGAACACACACTGATCTCCACACATGAGTGTGTGTTTAATTTGTGTACGTATAGACTTGGTTATCAGTGAGTGTGTGTGTGTGTGTGTGTGTGTGAGGGGCGTCTGGTTTCACCCCGAGCGATCAGGGGCCGTAGGGTAATGAAGCGACGGGTCGGTCTGTAAATACATGCGGGTCGCTCCGGCCGCTGTGAGCAGTAGGCTATCGTGTTGCAGTGAAAATGGAAACGTCAATAAAATTAATCTGGCCACCTTTTGGCCTGGACTGCTCGCTGTGGTCCACTCATAACACACCACAACAAGACGAGTTTACACTCCCAAACACACACACACACCTCCTCCACTGATGTCATTAGAGCAAACGCCTGAACTCGCGCTCCGTTTGGTCTGCGTTTGACCACCACACAGGTCTGTGTCGTTCTGAGCGTCTCTGAACTTGCAATGAGTGTGGATTTCGGGCATTTGCTGTGAGGTTACTTCCACATTAGCACAGATCCACACGGCGAGGGCGATAAAACAGCACTAGAGAGAAAAATAATAGATTAAAACAGAGAAGGGAAGGAAAGGCTTTCAACTGTCCTTGTATTCTTCATGTATTTTGCATTTGATTACGCCACCCATCGGATCTGTTCTCTTTCCTCCTTTTTAAAGTGATTAGTTGAAATATTAATGCGTGATTATTGCTCATATAGGTGCGCATGATTGATGTCTCCCCAAAAACAGAGAGACGTGCAAGTGTAAATTTGTAGAATATCGCAGCGTAGTGCAGGAGTTTTTCAGATACATAATTTAGATGCCCTGAAGGAAGCCTTTCAAGGCATTTTCGCCCAAGGCCAAGAAAAAATAACTGACTTTTAAAAGTAAATCATTTTTGCTAATGCACAATTAATGGCAGAGGAGAAAGAAAATAAGTCTGGGAAGTAGGTTATGAAGAGACCCGGCCTGCCCTCACACATGCACAAGACGGACGCTGATGGACATAAGTGCAGGAGTGTCAGACGTGATATGCAAATGAGGTGCAGGAAGGGGAGGGGCTGCAGGGTCGTGCATTTGTGTTTATCACATTGAGCTTTTGTCTTTGCACCAGTCCTCAGTATTCCTGCATGACGTCAAGCAAAATAAGGATTTGACGCAAGGGTGTCTCTGTCGCAGAAATAAATTATTTAGCCATATTGTGTGTGTAATGTCATTCATTATTAATTTCAGTATCACAATATATGAGAATTTTCACACTTGCGGTAAGTGCTGCCTTGTGTATACAGCTAAATCACAGCCGTAGTGTTACTCACAACAAATGTGAGTGTGTTCTTACTCATTAACTGAGAAGGATTGACCAGTCTAGTTCTGAAAATGCTGTTTGGAAACACTTTATTTTATGCAGGAAGGGGACGGGCTGCAGGGTTGTGCATTTCTGTTTATCACATTGCAGCTTTTGTCTTTGCAACCGTCCTGCATGATGTCAAGCAAAATAAGAATTTTTCTTTTAGGGTTTCTGGTAAGTTTGTGTAATGTTAATGTGTAAGATTGTGTGCCACGTTTCTAAAAAGCTCTCCTTTTGTCCAGGAGATGGTTTAGACAATAGCGTGGCCTCACCCGGCACGGGCGACGATGACGATCCAGACAAGGAAAAAAAGCGACAGAAAAAACGGGGCATCTTCCCCAAAGTCGCCACCAACATCATGCGGGCATGGCTCTTCCAGCATCTCACAGTAAGTCTCTTTTTCTGTTTGTTTGCTGAGATCTCACACTGAACTCTTACAAACTAGAATTAATACACAGTCATTAACATAAAGACGCCAGTTAGATCCGGCCCTCAAATCTGATTGGATGATGAAAGAATGCCAACAGCACTGGGACTTTTCACTGTTTGTATCACTCCACTTGACTGTGTTGCAGAAATAAATTATTTAGCCATATTGTGTGTGTAATGTCATTCATTATTAATTTCAGTATCACAATATATGAGAATTTTCACACTTGCGGTAAGTGCTGCCTTGTGTATACAGCTAAATCACAGCCGTAGTGTTACACACAACAAATGTGAGTGTGTTCTTACTCATTAACTGAGAAGGATTGACCAGTCTAGTTCTGAAAATGCTGTTTGGAAACACTTTATTTTAAGGCATCAGTGTTACAAATGTTACATGTACTTACTATTATAATAACAATTAATTATGCATAATGACATGCAAGCAACCCTAATCCTAACGCTAACCGTATAGTAAGTACATGTACACTGGTGGCCAAAATTATTAGAGCACTTGGCATATTTAAGAGGTTTCAGATGTTTTTGTTGAATTGACTATTACAATACCTATAAAACGAACTATTGCCGGAGCTACCTGAGCATTGAAAATGATGGACTGGCCTCTCAAAGTCCGGACTTCAACCCCATCGAGCAAATTTGGGGCGAGTTAGAAAATAAACTGGACAGATCTATTGTAGATTCAAAGGAAAGCCGTTGGCTTGAGCTGCAGAAGGCATGGGATAACATTAGTGTTGAAGTTCTCAGGAAATATATTGACACTATGCCGGAGAGATGTGATGCTGTAATCAATGCAAAAGGTGGACATACCAAATATTACAGTTTAAAGTGGATAAAAACATTACGACTCACTTGATTTGATATTTGTTGTGCTCAGAGCAACCACCTGCATGTTTCATTAACATTATATTTGGAGGCAAAAAAAAGTAAATATTTTCAGATCTGTCAGGTGTTCTAACAATTTTGGCCACCACTGTAGGTAATTAGTATTACTCAGTACTTAAATGTATAATGACACTGTAACAAGGATAACCTGGTTTTTTCATCAGTTCTTCCCAAAGAACATTTGTAGGGTTCAGTGTAGGTCTCTGCCGGTCCAAACGCTAGTGGTTGAGAGTGTGTGTGTGTGTGTGTTTGGAGAGGTGGCACGCGGGGTCGTGTTCCATCGGCCTCTCTGATGTCACGACATCATCCGCGGCTCAGGATATATCGATCAGGACAGGAAGGGTCAGGTTTCTGAGGGAGGTGCTGCCGTCTCTGAGCACATGAACGCAGCATGTGCTCCTCAAGAAACTGAGAACCGCCGACTGTGTGTGTGCCCTGCAAACCCTGATGCCCAACTGCAGTCCGAGTCTGGACCCGGTGATTATGCTCTTTTACAAAGTCTTGATTTTGTTTTGGGGGTGTAGTAGAACAGGCTCTCATACTAGGTTGTTCGAAAAACACATTATTTTTCACATATTTTACATGATTACAACACGTCTCTTCCCAGTCTGGCATGAACGGCTCGAAT